ACTCACAGAACATGTTCTTTGAAATGGGAATTGTTTTGATGTAAAAACAATGGTTGTTCAGGTATATTTAGCTCACAGAACATGTTCTTTGACATATGTATTATTTGTTATATACAAACAATGCTGGTCCTTGTATTTTTAACTCACGGAACATGTTCCTTGACAAATGAATTGTGATGTTGTACAAACAATGCTGGTCCACATATCCGTCGCTAAACGAACATGATCCTTGATATGTGAATTCTTTGGTATGTACAAACAATGCTGGTCCACGTTTATTAACTCACTGAAAATGTTCCTTGACATGTGAATTGTTTTGTTGTACAAACAATGCTGGTCGATGTATCGTTAGCTTACGGAACAGGGTTTTTTTGTACAACATAACAATTCACATGTCAATGAACATTTTCAGTGAGCTAAAGATACGTGGACCAGCAATGTTTGTACATACCAAATATTTCAAAAGTCAAGAAACATCATTGGTGAGCTAAAGATACGTGGACCAGCATTATTTGTACAACAAAACAATTCACAAATGAACGAGCCTATTCCGTGAGCTAAAAGTACGTGCACCAGCATTGTTTGTACAACAAAATAATTCACATGTGATGTAAACTGTTCCGTGAGCTAAAGATACGTGGACCAGCATTGTTTGTACAACAAAACAAGTCACATGTGATTTAACGTGTTCCGTGAGCTAAAGATACGTGGAGCAGCATTGTTTGTACAACAAAACAATTCACATACCAAGGATCATGTTCGGTAAGCGAAGAATACGGGGACTAGCATTATTTGTACACAAAACAATTCCTATGTTAAGGAACATGTTCCGTAAGTTAAAAATACAAGGATTAGTATTGTTTGTATATACCAAATAATGCACATGTCAAACAACATTTTCAGTGAACTAAAGATACGTGGACCAGCATTTTTTGTACAACAAAACAATTCACAAATAAAAGAACCTGTTCCGTGAGCTTAAGATACGTAGACCAGCATTGTTTGTACATACCAAATATTTCAAATGTCAGGGAATATGTTTGGTGAGCTAAAAATATGTTGACCAGCATTGTTTGTACACACCAAAGAATTCACATGGATCATGTTCGGTTAGCGACGGATATGTGGACCAGCATAGTTTGTTCACAAAAATATTTACATGTCAAGGAACATGTTCCGTGAGTTAAATATACGTGGACTAGCATTGTTTGTACAAAAAAACAATTCGCATTTCAAGGAACATGTTCAGTGAGCTAAAGATACGTGGACCAGCTTTGTTTATGCATGCCCAACAATTCAAATGCCAAGGAACATTTTTAGTGAGCTAAAGATAAGTGGATCAGCATTGTTTGTACAACAAAACAATTCACATGTGAAAGAACATGTTCCGTGAGCTAACTATACTTGGACCAGCATTGATTAGACATACCAAACAATTCACATATCAAGGATCATTATTGACGGGCGACGGATATGTAGATCAGCATTTTTGTACACAAAAAATTCACATGTCAAGGAACATGTTCCTTGAGTTAAAGATACAAGGACCAGCATTGTTTGTAAAAACCAAATAATGCTCATGTCAAAGAACATGTTCCGTGAGCTAAAAACACGTGTAGAAGCATTGTTTGTACAACAAAGAATATGATCGAAGAGCTAAACATATGTGGACCAGCAGTGTTTAAACAAAAAAATAATCCACATGTCCAGGAACATGTTCGGTGAGCTAAAGATACGTGAACCAGCATTCTTTGTACAACAAAACAATTCATATGTCAAGGAACATGTTCGGTGAGCTAAAAATACGAGGACCATCATTCTTTGTACAACAAAACAATTCATATGTCAAGGAACATGTTCGGTGAGCTAAAAATACGAGGACCATCATTCTTTGT